ACATATTCATTTATCAGTACACGTCAATGGATAGTTGAAAATATTTAGTTCACCTCCATGAAAAATAAATTGTTGATACATGTACAGAGAGATAGATACTAAAATTTTGTTAAACTATTTCACAATTTGAATTCTAAAGAAAACATTAACAAAAAAATCTCTATTGCATCTATGCTTGTACCACATGCATAATGATTGTAACACTTATCCATCTTAATTACCACTCTGTAATTGACTACGTAATGGATTATAATGAGACTGATCGATGTTATAAGTCATCCTCCTAACTATTTTGAATTTTCTGATAAAATAAACTTGGATAAAATGAATTAATTACAGTACATTTGCTTCATTCAATTTTTTTATCGTTTAGTGTGATCATGTAATTGACCTCTGATGTTTAGATATATGAATTAATGTTGACATATTCATTGTTTAAAATTGTGTTGTTCACAAAATTGAAAAATATCATTTATAAGAAATCCATAGATTTATACATTCTTATAGAGTCTAATAATTTAAACCTATGAACTTTTTTTAAAACTTTTTGTAGAATATTGAGCATTGTATTAATTATAAGTATATTGGTTATGAATGTATAACTAATCTATACTTGTGTGTAGACTTAGGTTCAAGTGAGAAATTCATCTAATGTGAGAAATGAGAACTAATCTCAACCATTAGATTTATGACATTGCTCTAAAAATAGTTTCATGTTGCAGTAAGATTTAAATTTTGCAGTGTTGTACTAAAATTGTTTCATGTTGCACTAATCTTTGACGATGTTACACCAAGACAACTTAATGTTCCACTAGAAAACTGTAATACGAGTATGAATTTTTCAGAAAATGTCACTATATAAGCTATGTTGCATATTGTAGTGCAATATACAGTGTTTTTACTGCAAAATATTTGAATCCAACAATTGAGATTCATTATCATTTCTCACATAAATGTTTCTTCTTATTTGAACTTCACTCTATACTCTAAAAAAATTCCCTAAAAAGACCCTTTTTTTATCTTCCTTGACAAACACAAGAAGAAAATGGATGATCTTTTCTTCCATGTTGTCCATCCAATGCCTACTTTGGAGGATAAAAACAAAGGCCCGCTTTTGTAGACTTGTTCTTTCTTTTCCTTTTATCCCTTTGTTCTTCCTTTTCCTTTGTTCTTCCCTTTGTTCTTCCTTTTCCTTAGTTCTTCCCTTTGTTATCCTCTTCCTCCCTTCCCATCCCTTTCCCGATTCTTTCCTACCCTCGACTCCCCTCGACTGCTACTTCCTGCCCCCCTACCCCCACAGGGGGGTTTCGCGCCACCGAGGTAGCATAACGCCCCTTGGCGCTCCGGCCCGACACCAAGGCAGCGGGACGCCCCGAGCCGACCGGCCTAAACCTAACCCCTAAGCCTAACGGCGCCCTCCCCCTAAAAGGACCAATCAAATAGATTTGTATTGTAATTATATATACTCTACTTTTCTCTAGCCAAGCCCATTTTATTATTAGAATATAGTCCAAGCCCATGTATTTCAGATGAATGATTATACTATCTGGACCCTATATTTTCGTGTAATGCCCCTATAATAGAAAGTCTTTCATGTTCAATTCTCCCTTTTACTTCTAGACATTAAATCTTTTTACCTGTCTTAAATTTTATTTATTTAATTAAGTTCAATATATTTTAGTTTAAGCTCATCGAAACAAAGACATTATATATTTTACCAAAATAATATTAAAAATCATAATATTTAAATAAAATTCGTAATAAATAATTTAGGTTGACAAATATATCCTAAGCTCTCAGTCTTTTCTCAAACCCTAGCCTCCATTCTCCCACCTCCGTAGATCCACCCGCCTGCAGCCGCAAGCCCCTACCGCCGCCGCCACCCCATGGCCCGCCGTCTGTCGCCGCCCCATGCCCCGCCGTTCGCCGCCGTCCAGGAGTATGTTCGCTGCAGCCAGCCCGTTGATTTCCCAGCCACTCTAGCCCCACGCCTACTCGACACAGCCACCATCCAAACCAATGTGATCCACACATGTGATCGTCCCTACACATGTGCGCTGCTGCCGTCCCAATCCACATGTGCTACCGCCGTCGCGAACCATGCAATCTGCCGCCCAGTCGCCCGCCTCTATCTGATGCGCTTACCATGGAATGCTGCCAAAACCTCGTAGGGAGGACCATGGGTGCGCGCGCAAGTTATGTACGTGAAACTAGGTTTGTAGCAATTTGTACGTGAGGATGGGCCTGCAAGATTGGGTTTGCTTTGGATACGGAGGCCACTCCTTTGGATTTGTTGCGTGAAATTTTTTATTCATTAAATATGTGCAGTGAATATGGGAAGTGAACATCACAATAGATATTGTAGAGCATGGTAAGTGAATTTAGGGGTTGTGTGCATTAAATATGGGCATTGAACATTGGCAGTGAACACGACAATAAGTGTTGAGTATATATGACAGTGAATATGACAATATATATATAGTACATGGCAGTAAATGAATACATTAAGAAAGTTTGCAGTGAAATCATTATGACCAATAGTGTAATAATGTCGCCATGAAACACAATATACTTAATTAGATGTAAAATAATGCAATTACTAAATCTAAAAAAATAAAAAATAAAAATTTTGAATAATTCCGTATAGTGAATGAGAAGATAATTATTTTTTTCGGAAATGCATTGATTATTACCGAATGTGCATTAATATCGTGCATTAATGTCGTGCAGTAACGATAATATAAAGTGCAGTAATTTTAACTGGACGAAATTAGTGCAAAATCCACATGGGTATATTCGTTATTCAATTTTTAAATAAACAGGGTATTTTTGTCATTCAATTTTTAAATATAAACAAAATTTGTTTTTTATTTTTATTTTCGGTCATTCAAAAGTCCAAAAACTAGTTACGTCATAGATTGGGAAACTCATTCAGTTTAGTCATATATTTTGGTCATATCGAGATTTAAATAAATTTCTCAGTTAGCCAATATCAGTTAGAGTACGACATTTACGTGCTCATGCATATTTTATTAGGAATTCCGATCAGGCGTTTATGATTATTGTATTATAGAGAAAAGAGGCAAATAAACCTTTATTTAGGAGGCTCTGTTCAGTCGTCACCATTTGGGTCGGTTCCCGGTGACATTTTTTTATAAATTTTTTTGAGCATTTTATTCATTAAGTCTAGTTACTCATACCAAATTTCAGGTAAAACTTCAATCAGGAAGGCATTCAAATGACTTCTTGAAGATAAATGCCCTTTTAATTGCGTAGTTATCTTCAAGAATTCATTTGCATACCTTCCCGATTGAATTGTTAGCTGAAATTTGGTAAAAATAAATTAGACTTAATGAATAAGATGATAAAAAAAATCATCAAAAAATTACACCGGGAACTGCCCCAAATGGCAACGGGCGGACACAATCCCCTATATAAGGGCTTATTTGACTTTTTTAGTTAGTACGTGGGCTTAGTTGGCCCTTTTCCCTTGTATTATATGTTGATGATCTAAATATAATCGTGATTCCTGACCAACTTCAAAAGGTCATAGAATATGATGCTTAAAAAGAGAACTTGAAATGAAGAATTGGGAAAATGGAAACTATTAATCCAATCTTTTAGCGGTCTACTTACAATAATACAACCTTTTCGTTATTCATGAATAATCCAACCTTTGCACCTCATCTTCATTCACTGGTCTCTGACCGGTTGATGACATGTTATTCCAAGTTATTTTCTTATCTTTGCAAGCTGTTAAATGTCCCACACCGGAAACATTTGGATGAACAAAGTGCTATATTAACACACGGGCTACTCCTCCTATCAGGTTGACCTTTTAAGATGAAACCTTAAGTCTTAACATGGTATCAGAGCCAAATCGATCCATGGTGTGGGACCCCTTATGAAAAATGATGACACGAATAAAAAAACGGCCGGATGAAAAAAACGGACCGATGAAAAAAAATGAATGATTGCACGATCCAGACGAAGTGTCTGGTCGTGAGGATGGAACCTCAAGTCTTAACACAAGCCGTTATACCATAAATCTCACCTTTCACAAAAATAATATTTTGCAAAAATAAGAAAATAACTTGGAATAACATGTCATTAACCGGTCAAGGACCAGAGAATGAAGATGGGGTGCAAGTGTGCAACGGTTAGATTATTCTTGAATAACGAAAAGATGAGACTATTGTAAGAAGACCGATAAAAGATTGGATTATTAGTTTCCATTTTCCATCCGCTAAGTAAACTGTAAAGTAATATGGGCTATAGAGGCTCATTTAACAATAAAATTACCACATCACTAGGGAGGAGTAGTCGGTCCCGTGCATACACTACGTATGAAGTTTTAAATTGAAATATTTTCGCTTTCAGATTGAACAAGATGAGACTTAAACAGTTAGATTAGATTTGAACAAACTAATTAACAAGGTAGATTAAACAAAATTTCAAAACTATTAAAATAAAAATGCATCAAACGTGTATGAGACCAAACTAATTTAGAATATACTTAAACATCCAAATTAAATTAGATTAAACTTAAATAGATTATATCATAAAATATTAGTTAACTTCAAAACGTGGAACATTTGAATCCAGCGGTCTCCAATTATTGAGTTCTAAGGAATTTAAAACGAAATTTGCATGTTTCTATTTATTAATCAAAATAAACCACAAGGTGATCAATGTATAGTTGTATACTTGGGATATGTTTCAACGTGGAATCCACTTGTGGTGGTCAGTACTAATCCTCGTCTGCACGACACTGTTAACCTTTCATTTTTCATTTTTTTCAATAAAAGCTCAACTGTATTTTGTAGGTTCTCGTCCGTTTCAACTGAGGTCAATTTAAAGTATGAAAAGAATTCTTAATTTGGTATGACATTTTGGGAAGTTTATTTAAAACATTCCTAAATTCTTAAATTATAATTAACAAATTTAAATATATGATTAAATAAAATGATGGATGAAAAAACCATATCGAAATACATACCGGGCGTTTAGCCAATTTTTTTAATTATCAAAACAGACCTCTATTCATATCAAAAGATTCAGGATCATTACATTAAACAAAGAGAAAATAAAACTGACACCAACTGAAACTCCAACAACTACGACTATAACCTTATGGTGAGACTTTGAGACGGTCACCCCTGAGAGAGCAACACGAATCGCTAACCATGTAGTGGGCTTGACACAACCAAATCTGTTCTCATAGATCCAACCATACCCAATGGCATAAACAGCGGCAAAAAAACTCAAACAACTGTCAAAACCAACAACACAAAAAGACACAAGAAAACAAATAACAAACAGATAAAAACTACAAGAAAAACTTTCACGAACTCTAACGCCTTGTACATCCCATGGTGGTGGTTCAAGAGCATGTCGTACCACCGGTACCATGCTAATTGATCCTCCATGACATTTGGCTGCCAAAAACCATGCATCAATCCTCTTTCCCCACATAACCAAACTCATCCATGCTCCGTGCGACCAGAGTAAACGGATAGGCGGCGCCGATCTTCTCCAACGACGACAGCAAGTCAGCAACGCTGCATCCTCGACCCTTGACCACATCGCCGATCTCCTCGAGCCATGACAGCAAATCCGTCCTCCTCCACCGATCTCCGCCCTTCGCGTCTGACTTGGACTCCAGCCGAGCACCAGCGACCAAGCTAAGGGATAGCAAAGCCGATCTTCGACAAAGTCGAAATCGGAAAAAGGCTCCAGCGGCCGACATAGTCAAAGCCCTAGAGAGAACTCACAACAAACAAATTAATTAGAGAAGCCAAGAATCACATCCGCATGCCAATCACATATGAAACAATGGCCCTATTATTACTCCCCAGGTTTCTATTTCAAAAAATATAACCACTTTTGTTTTTCCCCAAAACGTGACCCCTCCCTCCGTCTCCCGTGAATTAGACAGGTCGCCCGCAGGCCGCATCCATCTGCATCATCATCCGAGATGAACAAGCTCTTCGCATCTGCTCCGAGATCTACCAGCTCTGCATCGCCTATCTTCTTCCGTCACCAGCTCCGTCGAAGACAGCGAATCTCGCCGCCTACACCACCAGACGCCGCCCGCTCCAGATCTGCTCCACAAGCTTTGTCCTTCCGTCGTGTCTGCTCCAAATCCGCTCAACTCCAGATGATTCACCACTTCGGCGAGCTCGGAATGAAGGACGACGCTTCGGATATGGCTCCAATGGACGACGACCAAAGCTTGGAATCCATTGACGACTGGAGAAGCTTTGCGATTTCATTTCTTCTTCTGCAATTTCATCCCTTCTTCTTTAATTTATCCTTCTGTGATGGTCTCCATTGCTAAGGTTAGAAATCTGGCCGCTGGGACTGAGATCTGGTGAGGCAGGTGGGTTGGGTGACGCAGAGTGAGGTGGGTGAGGCAGGGGGCTGGGATGAGACAGGGGAGTGGGGTGGGTGAGGTAGGGGGCTGGGTGAGGTAGGGGCTGGGGTGTGGTGGTTGACAGCGGAGGTTGGCAGGTCGCAGACTTTGGCCGGTTGTGTTGGGGGGGGGGGGGGGGGGGGGTGAATCTGGGCGGTGTTGGGGGTGGATCTGGTTGTGAGGGGTTGATGGACGGCTCTAGGCTAGGACAAGGTGCAAGGGTTGTGCCGGAGTGTCAATAGCACGCGGTGGCGTCACTGCGACGGCGTCACTGCGGTTGTGTCCGGCTACAGTGACATGGGTGGGAGCTATAGTGACACGAGCGGTGGCTACAGTGACACGGACGGTGGCTACAGTGACACAGGCGGTGGTTGTAGTGACACAGGCGGTGGCTACAGTGACACGGGCGGTGGTTGTAGTGACATGGGTGGTGGCTACAGTGACACGGGCGGTGGTTGTAGTGACATGGGTGATGGTTGTAGTTACAAAAAAACGAACACACAGTGACATAAAATTTTTGCAGTTACATCATGTTTTCTAATTGCACATATATGACCTTCTTGATCACTTTTTTGCCCCCTTTTAAAAGTGATCACTTTTTGGGTAAATGGTTCAAAATTAGTAATATCCAAGTAAAAACCCCATCACATATTACACAAAAATTTTTACCGTACAGCCAAATTAAAACACCTTTAATTTAACATCTCGTTTTATCATATTTCTAATAATTTTCTCTTACATAAATTCAAAAACAATTCTTGTCGCATATAAATTCTTGTCCATAAAACACGTACATACGTAGTATGATATAATAATTAATAACAAATAAGCATGCTTAGTTAGAAACAAAATCAGCCGGGAACACGACCTCCGTCCTCCATAGCACAAGTTACATTCTTCAAATTGTGATATTTGAAAAAAAATGTGAAAAACGTCATTATTTTTTTGAAAGATATACGGAGTAGTTAGTAATTGAGATGTAAAAAATATAATAATATTTAAATCTTTAAATAATAAAAAAACACAAAAAATTACGGAGTATAAAAATCTAAATTTTGTAAAAATCAAACATTATATAATAATGTGAATTTATAAATTATTCAAAAATGTAAAAACATAAGAAAATTAAAAAAATGGAATACAATGTTATACATTCCTCCAAAAAAACCAAGTCGAAATTTATTATTTCCAAACGGAAAAGCCAGTCCCCCTTTAAATTATTTCCAATTTTTTTTATACATTTTGTGTGTTTTTCTTCGAATTATTTGTAAATGTATCATAATTCCTGTACTTTCTTACATTTTACTTTCTCTTTAAGAAGTAAAAATATTAATAATAATTTTATAAGCAATATATACGGAGCATGGTATATGAGCATTTTCTATATAATAAATACTACTCTATAGTATATAACTATTTTTCCTGTTTTGCTATATAGCTTTCTAATGTTTAAATAGGCTTCAATATAATTTCTTATATATGTAAAGTGTTTTCAATTTTTTAAAATTTTTTGTGGTTGCAGGTAGTTTCTAAGAATATTTTCAAAACAAAGAAATCGGACAATTTTTAATATTTTCTGGACATTTTTAGAAAAATATGGGTCTCTGGGAGTAACCAATGGTAGTGGGGTGGAGACAAGACTAAATGGGGAATAAAAAGAATTAATTGTCATTAATTAAAAAGATGAAACTTACAAAAAAATCCCAAAACATTGATAAACAAGGCCGAAAAGCTCTCTAAATTTCGTGTTCGGCACTCTCTCTAAGCCCCCTCAAAAAGGAGATTTACGGGCCGTTTAAATAAAAAAACGGGTGAAATTTGAGCTGAATTAGGATTTTCAGAGGCAGACAGTGTCTTCAACCGTGCCTCCGGGGGAATCCCGCGCATCATGGCCAGGCACGACGTGCCTCCCTGCTAGGCACGCCCATGCCTGGCAATTCAGGGAGTTCGTAGTAATGAGTGTCTTTCATTTGGCAATTATCGACTTGGGAGTTGGGAGTAAGGTGAATGTTTGGAGGTGATTTGCTGGTGAGATGCTAAACAAACTTATTTCTGTTATAATATGGAAGGAAATAAGCAGAAGATCAGGGAGAGAAATATAGTATGAACACTTAGTGATAGATTATATTATTGAGAGTGTGATAATGGTGTAACCATGGTGTGTTAATTACAATGAGAATGACTCCTATTTATAGGAGAAAGTGTGAGCTCAATGAGATTAGGAGATCATTGTGAGCCACACATTTATCACCTTGAAATCATAATTATGATTTCCTAATTATTTATATAATGGTGATAATAATTCCTAATCAGGAATAGTTGGAAGATGACTAATTCAATTATATTTCAACACTCCCCCTTGAATGGTCATCTTCTAATTATTCTGGGGTATTAGTTTCATAGTATTATAACGTACTGTCTCGTTAAAAACCTTTGTCAAGAAAAACCCAGTGGGATAAAAACCTGACGAAGGGAAAAAGAGTGCAGTGCATTATATTACCCCCCCTCAATTTAACATATATCTCGAAGACGATACATTCCAATTTTATGGACCAGTTCTTCAAATTTCTTCGGTGCCAATGACTTTGTGAACAAATCAGCAGGGTTGTCGCATGACTTGATTTGTTTGACATCAACCGTTCCGTCTTTCTCAAGATCATGTGTGGAGAAAAGTTTTGGTGCTATATGCTTTGTTCTGTCCCCTTTGATGTAACCTCCTTTGATCTGAGCTATACATGCTGTATTATCTTCATAAATCACAGTAGGATTAGAAGTAAAAGATTTTATACCGCATTCATTTTGTATGTGCTGGATCATTGATCTCAACCAGACACACTCACGACCTGCTTCATAAAGAGCAATTAATTCTGCATGATTTGATGATGTTGCAGTTAATGTTTGCTTCATTGATCTCCATGATATAGCGGTATCACCATAGGTGAATAAATATCATGTTTGTGATTTTGCCTTTTGTGGATCAGACAAGTATCCTGCATCCGCGTAGCCAATTAAAGTGGCATTTGCACCATTCTTGAAATACAATCCAAGATCGATTGTACCATTGAGATATCGGAATATATGTTTGACACCATTCCAATGCCTTCTTGTTGGGGAAGAACTGTACCTGGCTAATAAATTTACAGAAAAAGCAAAATGTGGTCGAGTATTATTAGCCAAATACATTAATGCTCCAATAGCACTCAAATATGGTATTTCGGGACCAAGGATTTCTTCATCATCTTCACAAGGTCGGAAAGGATCATCATGCACATTGAGAGATCGAACCACCATTGGAGAATTGAGCGGATGTGCTTTATCCATGTAAAATCGCTTCAAAAGTTTCTCGGTATAATTTGATTGGTGGATGAAAATACCATTTCTCAAATGTTCAATTTGAATGCCGAGACAAAATTTTGTTCTCCCAAGGTCTTTCATTTCAAATTCTTTCATGAGATATTTTGCAGTATTTTCAATTTCATTAGGAGTTCCGATTATATTCAAATCATCAACATATACTGCAATTATGGCGAATCCTGATTCGGATCGCTGACTGAAAACACATGGACTAATAGGATCATTTTTATACCCTTCTTTAATCAAATATTCACTGAGACGGTTATACCACATGCGTCCAGATTGTTTTAATCCATATAATGACTTTTGCAATTTTATGGAAAATAAATCTCGAGATTTCGAGCTATAAGCATCAGGTATTTTAAAGCCTCCAGGAATTCTCATATATATGTCTGTATCGAGTGAACCGTATAAATATGCGGTCACCACATCCATTAGGCGCATTTGTAGCCTTTCAAAAACAGACATGCCAATTAAAAATCTTAAAGTTGTAGCATCAACTACTGGAGAATACGTCTCATCATAATCGATTCCTGGCATTTGAGAAAAACCTTGGGCAACAAGTCGGGCTTTGTATCTAAAGATTTCATTTTTCTCGTTGCGTTTACGCACAAAAACCCATTTAAAACCGACAGGTTTTACGCCTTTTGGCGTATGGACAATTGGTCCAAAAACATTACGCTTTTCTAGCGATTTTAATTCTACCTGAATTGCTTCATTCCATTTTGGCCAATCATTTCTACGACGACATTCGTCAATAGATTTAGGCTCATTGTCATCGTGTTCATTCATTATATCTATGGCGATGGCATATGAAAATATATCATTAACATCAATATCATTTCTATTCCATTGTATTCCATTAGAAACGTAATTAATTGAAATTTCAAAATTATCGACGTTTCTATCTTTATCTGGAATATTTACCTCTTCGAAGGTGATTGGATCCTCTTTTGAGGTATCATTATTATTGATGTTATCTTCAAGGGCGATATTTTCAAAATGTTCATTTTCTTCTTGAGAAGGTTGAACTTCTTTGGCATCACACACTACAACTTGTTGTTTAAATTTTCTTGGTTTCAAATCTCTTGAACCAAGTGGTCTACCACGTTTTTTACGTATCATAGATTCATTAGCAAGTGTTCTTTCGCTAATCTCCGCAGGAATTTCTATTCGAGAAGGAGCATTCATAGCTGGAACATGTGACTTTGTCACTTTCTTTGAGTCTGTGAAAGCATCAGGCAATTGGTTTGCAACATTTTGTAAATGAATAATCTTTTGAATTTCTTGTTCACAAGCATTTGTGCGAGAATCAAGAAAAGATAAATTTGTTGCATTCCAAGTAATATCTTTCGTACGTGGGTCCATTTCTTTAATATCTCCCCCTAAGGCTGGGAATACTGTCTCATCAAAACGACAATCATCGAACCGCGCGGTGAATAAGTCACCGGTCATAGGTTCTAGATAATTAATAATTGAGGGTGATTTAAAACCAACACAAATTCTCAGCCTTCTTTGAGGACCCATTTTAGTACGATAAGGTGGAGCAATTGGTACATACACAGAACAACCAAATATTTTTAGGTGTGACATATTTGGTTCTTTACCAGATATTAATTGTAATGGGGAAAATTTATGATATGCCGTTGGCCTAAGCCGAATTAAATTTGCAGCATGCATTATAGCATATCCCCATGCAGATGATGGTAATCTGGATTTCATCAATAATGGTCTAGCAATTAATTGTAATCGCTTAATTAAGGATTCGGCAAGACCATTTTGTGTATGTACATGTGGATCGAACTGGATGTCCACATCAATCCCAATTGACATGCAATAGTCATTAAAAGATTGGGATGTAAATTCTCCTGCATTATCAAGTCGGATTTTCTTTATCGAATAATCCGGAAATTGTGATCTCAAACGAATAATTTGAGCAAGGAGATTTGCAAATGCAAAATTTCTAGTCGATAAAAGACTGACATGTGACCAACGTGTTGATGCATCAATGAGCACCATAAAATATCGAAACGGTCCACACGGAGGGGTAATTGGCCCACAAATATCTCCTTGAATTCTTTCTAAAAATGCAGGAGATTCAACTCCAATTTTGTATAAAGATGGCCTGATAATTAATTTGCCAAGAGAACAGGCAGTGCACGGAAAATCACTTGTTGTGGAATCTTGACATTAGTTAATGAATGTCCACGTGAATTTTCAATAATTTTGTGCATCATAGTGCTGCCTGGATGACCTAAACGGTCATGCCACAAGATAAAGGAATTGTGGTCATAAATTTTAGATACCACATTTATCTCAATTGGACTGATATATGTATAATACAGTCCCGAGGAATATGCTGGCATTTTTTCAGAAATGTATTTATTGCCAGATCTATTTGTGGTTAGACATAAATATTCCTTTTGATTTTCAGACATGGTTTCAATATGAAAACCATTTAGACGCATATCTTTAAAACTCAAAAGATTTCGCCGTGATTTACTGGAGTATAAAGCGTCTTTAATTATTAATTTTGTCCCTTTTGGGAGAATCACACAGGCTATTCCAGAACCTTCAATGAGTTTAGCAACACCTGAGATCAGGGAGAGAAAGTATAGTCTGAATACTTAGTGAGAAAGATGTTATTAGAAGTGTGATAATGGTGTGCGTTGTGGCACTGTCTATTAGACATTGTTCAGAGCCACTTGGAGAAATTTTAGTTAACTCCATATCTGCTGAGAGATGATGATTTCACGGATTTGGAGCAGATTCGTGCTGATAACGTGTTATAATATGGAAGGAAATAAGCAGAAGATCAGGGAGAGAAATATAGTATGAACACTTAGTGATAGATTATATTATTGAGAGTGTGATAATGGTGTAACCATGGTGTGTTAATTACAATGAGAATGACTCCTATTTATAGGAGAAAGTGTGAGCTCAATGAGATTAGGAGATCATTGTGAGCCACACATTTATCACCTTGAAATCATAATTATGATTTCCTAATTATTTATATAATGGTGATAATAATTCCTAATCAGGAATAGTTGGAAGATGACTAATTCAATTATATTTCAACAATTTCGCCTTTTTTAAAAGTTAATCCGATCCTTGTGATCTCCCTTAAAAACGGGAAAACTTTCAATCTAACACCATTAATTAACAGGGTTAACAGGATTTAATTTGCTTCCTATAAACTGGGTTGCTTGAGATCATAAATACAGTTAAACTTGTCTACATATTATTTATCATAGCTTTAACAGTTAATATCTAAATATTGAGAAACTAGACAAAAACATTTAGGGCCTGTTTACTAACAGAAATATTTTCCAGTTTTCCAGAAAACTGGAAAACTGGAAAACAGAAAACAGGAAACGTGTTTACCAAAGAAATTCCTGGAAAACTGGAGAGAGGAAAAAAGAAAAACACGTTTACCAAATCGTTTTCCAAAACGGAAAAAATGAAACATGTCTCTCTTTTCCTTGATGATTTTGAGAAGTGACTTTTACTAGTTTTCCAAATTTGGAAAACGCAGATGCTATAGTGCCTTTGCAATGAATTTGCATACTTACACCTAGTGGTGGGTCCGGTCCCGCTCAGATGTCGATTCCATTCCGGTACCTCCATCCTTGTACCTTACCCCTTACCCCTACCCTACCCTACCCTACCCACCCAACCCCCACCCCGCGTACCCATTTTTCCCTATAATGACCTTACCCCACCACATGCCCCGACCTCGGCCCCACCCCACCCCGATCCACCCTACCCTACCGCCACCCCCCTACCACCTCGACCCCACCTCGATCCACCCTACCCTACCGCCACCCCCCTACCACATTGACCCCACCCCGACCCACCCTACCCCTCGTATATTACCACTTACCCCTACCTTACCCTTTACCACATGCCTCCTACCTCGGCCCCACCCGGATCCCGGGCCCACCCTACCGCCATCCTATCCCAACTCCCTACCCTACCCCTACCTTACCCCAACCCCAAACCCTACCCACTACCCCCACCCTTACCATCCTACCCCCACCCCACCCCTTCCCTACCCCGACCCCACCCTACTGCCATCATATCCCAACTCCCTACCCCTGCCTTACCCCAACCCCAAACCCTACCCACTACCCCCACCCTTATCGCCATCCTACCCCCCATCCTACCCCTTCCCTACCCCGGCCCCACCCTGGTCCCGACCCCACCCTACCTCCATCTTATCCCAACTCCCTACCCTACCCCTACCTTACCCCAACCCTACCCACTACCCCACCCTTAACCCTAACCACGACCCTAACCCACCCACTACCCCCAACCAACCCCCTACCCCTAGACCTTACCACCCCACCCTGACCATACCTCTTACCCCACCCCCACCCATAACTTCCCTACCCCGACCCCTACGAGTAGGTATGAGTGAGTATGAAGGGTTGTGGTGGAGTATGGGTAGAGTGTAAGATCGTGGTAAGGGTAGAGGTAGGGGTCAAGGGTGTTGAATTGGAGAACTGTGTGAAAAAATTGATGAACATGTTTTCAAATTTGAAAATGGAAAACTAAAAAATAGAAACAGAAAATTGCAGATAGAAAAACTGAAAAATAAAAACATAAAATTGGAGAACGAAAAACAGAAGTAGAAAACAGGAAAATATTTCTGTTAGTAAAGAGGCCCTTATGTTGTTCAAATTATATCAGATACGGAGTACAAAATTAGAGGATTAAAATTAAATGAGGGCCGGATTAATCAAAGATGTGAATAGTGCACTAATGCGTAGTATTGTACTATTGTAGTAAGAAAGAGAAGTACGACAATACAATCATTTGATACTAGCTGCGTCCTAACTAAAGACTTGTTCAGCTAGCTTGAAAACGACATGTTTTTTTTTTTTTGAAAACGACATTGTTATAGTGCATGTATAAATAAAATTTTCATATTTGAATCGAAATCTTAATCTCGTTTGATTTCTTTTGATTTGATCTGGTTTAATTTGAATGGGTCTAATCTAGTTTGGTAGGTGTTTAGGATGTTTTTACTTGGACGGTAATTTGCGGTCTGGTCTGATCTGAACTGGTCTGATCTGGTCTGGTAAAGTCTGGTTTCTTTGTATTTTTATAACTACCCAACTCTGGCCTGTTCTGGTCTGAGCTGGTCTGGTCTGGAACAAATTACAGTCCAAGTAAAAACATCCTTAGTATCCGTGTATTTATAATTAGAAAAGTTTGATATAATATGATTTGGTCCGGTCTATTCTAGTCTGGTCTGGAATTGAAATAAATTGAATAAAAATATCCGAATACGAGTGCACCAGTGGGGTAAGTAATAATCTAATAATAATGGTAATAACATACCTAGTAATAAAAGATTTCAGTAAATCAGTAATATCTAAAATTACAATCACTACTTAAGTACTTATAATAATAATAGAATGTATAAATAATACGAATAGCATGCTTACATGCACTAACAGAATCAATAATATTTAAAATGATAACAACAAAATAAGAGTAATTAATTAAAAGTGATGATTATAATATCATAATAATAACATATAAAGTGGCTCTCCACAATGGGATTTTTTTTGGTTGATAAAAAAGATTATAATTCATTATTTCATCTGGTAAAATTCAAAGTTGAAGGTAGCTATAATAAAGAATCTAGCTTCTCTACAAAAGGTTTATGTACGTACCCATTTAATTAAATTACTTCACACCTATAGCTTAAAACATACAGTGCAATGATTAATGAATAACTATAGACTAAAGTTTGTGTTACGTTATTAATGAAATATAAACTGATGAAGAGAGAGTACTATACCAACAAGAAATGGAGAATTGGAGAATTCCGCTTGTTCGCTTTTTAAAAACAGGATCTAAGTTATAAATATGATTTATTATTGGAAAATGATGTTTGTACCCACTTTTATACCCACTTTTGTACCCACCCATGTTTGTGAAGTTATTTTTTTTTGTCTGTGAATTCCTTCACAGACAAAATATGTCTGTGAAGGAATTCAAAGACATATTTTGTCTGTGAACCGGCTTCACAGACAAAAAAATAGTCTTCACAGAGGTGGGTATAAGATGAGTACAAAGTGGTGGGTACAACAAGTGGGTTGTTTATTATTCATGATTGCACAAAAATATCCCTATAAGGTTTGGAGCCGTGCCGCCGCCAAGCGTCGGACCGGGGTCTATGGCCAGCACTCGGCCGCTTCTCGCCCCCCCTGCTGCCGGACTGCCATTGTTATGGTAGATGCCCTATATGGTTAATCCTATTTAAAAAATAAATTAAAATATATGGTTCTATTTTTAAAATGGTACTTTTTCCGTCCCAATTCAAAAACTTTGTGATTTTCAACACTTTGATTAACTATAATGTTTTTAGAAATTATTTATAATATAAAAATTATACAACGAATCAAAGTGTTCTTTATTAAGAGTACTCTCATAAAACTAGAAAGTTTACAATTTCTATAATGTTATACTCCGTACGAATCAAAATCAAGATTTAAATTTATAAAATGATAAAGTTTTTTGGGACGGAAATAGTATATGGCTATGTTTGATTGTTATTCAGAATAATTTTCTCAACAAGATATATAACTCGATCAAATTAAGATAATGTTACATTTGAAAATCAATTATAAGAGGAAGCGGTCCAGCCCAGCTGGTCGCTGACTCACCCTCCCTTACGGGAGGTCTCGGGTTCGAAATTCAATAAAGTGAGTTTCAGTCTTAATTACTCCAGACTCCCCAGTCCTCCTCCCCTGACTCTCCCCGGAGTAAAAAAAATAAAAAAATCAATTATAAATAGACAGGACAATAAGTCTTTGCAACCCATCCATGCACCATCAAAATACCAAACAGTACTGGAAACACTCTCTCTTCTTCTCTCTTTAATCCGCAGAATTCTGAATTAGTGAGACATGGCGATGACTCGAGCCCCTCCTTCCCATCACAGTGTTGCAATACTCTCATCATTATTTTCACTCTTTTTCTTCTTCTCCCTTTTCTTTACTATGACTTCTGCTCAGTTATCTGCAACTTTCTACTCTTCCTCCTGTTCGAATGCTCTTTCCATAATCAACCAGGGCGTGAAAGCGGCCGTGCAGAAGGAGGCTCGCATGGGAGCATCCTTGCTTCGTCTCCATTTCCATGACTGCTTCGTCAATGCAAGTCTTTTTTATTTCTTCCCTCGTTGCTTTCAAATAATACATAGTTGAATTGTCTACGTAAATTTCAAAGTTTTAAGACATTTATATAAAAATGGTTATTAGCATAATACTACGTATATATATTTATATTCCATATGTATACGCAAATCTTCCTAAGTACACGGTTCACATAATTTTTGGTTTGGGGTTAACTCAAATTTTTATAAGAAAATTTTTATTTAGAAAGAGTAAAAATCATGAAGTTAAAAGCTACTGTAGTTACTAGTGAATGATATTCATGCTTGGAATTTGCCTTTTAATAAGATACTTGTGAGCTTTTTATAGTAACAACCAATGAGCTTTTATTTAGGGGTGTTTGGAACCGATTCTGCTTCTGCTTCTTTTTTAAAGTAGAAGCAGAATCAGAATCAGTTTTCTGAAGCTGATACCTCCCGGCTTCTATAAATTGGTCTAGTTTACTCATGACTATGGCCTTGTTTGGCAAATAGCTGTTAGCTGGTAGATGTTAGCTGGTTGTGTCAGCTGGTTGTTAATAGTTGTTTGTATTAGATGTTTTGATTAGCTGATCATGTAAGCTTATTATGAATCAACGTTTGGTAAAATTAGATGTTTGTAAATAACTGATTGACGCAAAAAGACATCTAAGGACATGGCATTTATTATTTGTGTTGCTATTTTAATAATCAACAAGTTGGGTTTTAGTTTTCTCTTCTTTTATCTCTTACGGAATATTTTTTATTTTCCTTTCTCCCTTTTTCTTTTCTCTATTCCTCCTAGGCTTGTCTTTGTTCTACCGTTCTATGCTTTTAATTTTCTCCCGATTCTCCCTCTTTAGCCTCCTTTGTATTTTTTTTGGTGTTTCTTCCTTTTTTACTTTCAGATGGCAACTCGTAAGAAACGGGACTTCAACCCCTGTTCCCTATAAACCCATTTCCTTCCTATGGCAGATTCTTCTTCATTGTTTTCTGTTTTTTTTGTTTTTTTATTACACTTGAGGGAGCAACTAATAGAAGCAGAGATCCGGGAAATTTGTTGGAGTGGTGCCAAGGACGAAGAGCTGCGAAACAGAGGCGGTGGACATTCATTTATAAAAAGAGGAAATGACCTTTGGCTTTGATGAATTGCTGTAGATAAACGAACTACGAAAATCAAGGGGTATAAAAGAGTTTTAGGGGACCAGCCAAATCCAAACGCTGCCCTTCGTAGCTTTTCTCTTTTCGGTTTTTTCAACCCAAACAGCCAAGAGAAGCATCCAATTACCAAACGATAATATTGGCTGATTGGATAGTCAAACAAGCTGATGTTGGTCAAAACAGCCAAAAGTTGGCTGATAAGCCGTTTCCCAAACGCAGCCTATAAATTTTTAAAATAGTACAAAAGCTATCTAGATGATCAAGACATATGCCTATGAGCCTATCAAACGTGCATTATGCATCTAAATACGATACTACAAACAAATGGCTGCATGCGTGCTTAGTTTTATATCGCTACTGCAGTACTGCCTACGATGTTAAAGGATACATATTAAACTATTACGGAGTATAAATACATAGTAATTAATTACTTTGCAATATGCTTTCCATCTCTAATAATTTTGTCAAGTTTCACTCACAAGTGAAATTATAAAGTAAGAACTATGTAACTAAAGTTTGTGTATAGGAGAGAAATACTTGTAAGAAACTAGAACCACAAACAATTACATAAAAGGGAAAGATGAAGATTGTCAAAGTTATAAACCACAAAGGAAGTGCTTTTACTGAATTAGATGAAATGATATCAGTAATCATATTTTTAAGTTATGCATTTTACAAAAACTATTCATATTGGATACGTTTTTTTTACTATATTCATATTGTACTATAGTATAAGTTAACAGTAATATATAAGCTCAACTCATTAACCCCTTCACAAAAATGAATTATAAGAGGTTACTATTCATTTTTTTCATTTTCAAAGAAAACGAAAACATATTCCTAGAATTATTTACGCTATTGACTAATATTAAATATTTATCATGAAACATTGTACGCATATATAAAAAATACTCATCAAATTTTCTTTCTTTCTTTTATTACTTCGGAGTATGATGTATTTGAGAATTATTTTTTTAGTTCTAGTGAAATTTTGTAATTAGACATCTCTTACTTCGTAAAAGGAACGCCCGGAATAGTAATCCCTTACAAAAGTTATTTTAAGATTTTGTATGTGAGACATTTTATAACACTATATATGTTCATGAAAGTTTAAAATTTATTCGGACATCATTAATGTTTTATGTAACACTTGACAAGGTATGGATTTTTTTTATCATTACAAGGTAGTATGGATTATTATTTTCAACACTTCCAATATATACTATTTTTGTAAAATATATAAAAGTAGGGATTATTAATATCAACCTCATATACTAATTATGCTTCTTATTTGAATATGAAATAGGGGTGTGACGGGTCAATATTATTAGATGACACGACAAGCTTCACCGGAGAGAAAACTGCCGGTCCAAACAATGGATCGGTGAGGGGATATGAGGTTATCGACACCATTAAGACTCAACTCGAACAATCATGTCCGGGAATTGTCTCTTGTGCTGACATTGTAGCTGTTGCTGCTCGAGACTCCGTGGTTGCGGTAAGAGTACATGCTATCTTTTCACATACTTTAAAAATAAAATCAGATATTTACCTAAACAGGACTAAATATATCTTTAATTGTCAAAATAGGACTACAATTCAAAAATTCCCTAAATCGGAGTCATTATTTATACTTCGACAAAAATGCCCTTGAAGGGTGTAAATCATACTGCTGCTGATCTGAACGTTGGACCGCCGCTGGACGCCGGACGCCGCTAGACGCCGGACACCGCTGGCCGCCGGATGCCGCCGGTCTCCTGACGTCGCCACCACCTAAAACCGAGCGTCGTTGTAGATCTCACCGCCGCCGCTGTCAATATGGCTGTCGCCATAGTAGATCTGGTCAAATCAAGCTTCCGCCGGCCGCTGCCCTTGTAGCATCGCATCTAATCCGGCATCTCCATGACAAATCTCGTCTCTATTGTTGCAGATCTAGCCATCGCTGACACAAATGCCAACATTTTAATCAAAATTCCAAAATGAATCGGAAATGTCATTTTCAAAGAAAAATACAAAATTTTTGTAGAATAAGAATGCCATTTTGATGGCAATTTCAGAGTTGAACTTGACATTTTTAACAATCAAAGAAGAATGGAGCATCTGCAACAAAATAGAAGAGGGGAAGAGAGAACTAGAGAAGAGGGGAGGGAGAACAGGAAGAACAATAAAAGAAGAGAACCTGAACTTTAAAAGAAGAAAATCTCTGACGGCGACGGCGACGGACTGCAAGGCAGCGGCGGCGATGGTTATGACTGGGCAGCGGTAGCGGACATCGTTCCAGCGACGGCAGACTTTGTTTCAGTGGCGTCGGACTTCCAAGGTTTGTTTGTTCCTGTGTGAAGGGGGAAGGAGAAGTAGATGGGTAGGGAGAGGAGATGAAGCTGGGCAAATGAGGGAGAAGATACGCAGGGAAAAAAATGATGCGTATAGGAGAAAGGATTAGGCGTAGGGAAAGATGGGAAATAGAAAGAAGAAGGGTAAATGAGTCATTTACTCCTAATTAGGGCAAAAATTTACGGATAGTCCTATTTAGGAATTTTAGGAACATTTTAGTCTCATTTAGAACAAAAAAGTCAAATAAAATCTATGTAAACTAAATAAATTATTACAAAAGCAATATATATGAAAAAAGAAAATTTCAACTATTTAATGATTATGATTGTCTTCAAAGTTACTATAACGTACGTAATAATGACTATGATGTAAATGTTGAACATAACTATAGTCACTAAATACTTTAGGAAAAACTTCATAGAAATACCTACAGCTTGGTGGCATAGAATTTTTATTATTAATACTTTAAGAATAATGTGGCATAAATTAATGTACAGCTTGGTGGTCCAAGTTGGAATGTTTTGGTCGGAAGAAGAGATTCAACTACTGCAAGTACAAGTGGCGCTAACAATAACCTTCCCGCACCAACTCTCAGTCTCAGTCAACTCATCACCTCCTTCTCCAACCAAGGCTTTAGCACTAGAGAAATGGTTGCTCTCTCAGGTTTGCTCTAAAACTATTATACGTATATACATAATACATGTGGAACAAAAGAGGGAAATTTTGAAATAAGGGTATTATAATTTCAAAACGTAACCCTCATTATTACTCTCTCCGTCCCATCTTACATGTCTTACTTTTCTTTTTGCTGAGTTGTCCCAAAATAAGTGTTATATTTCCCTTTTTGGAAAGAAATACGCGATCCACAACATTTCACTTTATATATTCAAATCTCAACAACAACTTTTACTTTTTCAACCCTTTATTAATTATTGTGTCAAGTCAAAGTAGGACACATAAAATGAGACGGCGGATGAAGTAGTTTATTAGAACGACGCTCAAATGATTAAAATGAGAAAAAGACAAATCCTATTGTACGTAGGACCAAGGGATTTATCATAATGGTTGGGGTGTCATTTTTAACATTAAATATGTGTAGACTAGCATGCAAAATTAAAACTGATCATATACTAATAAATGGTGCAGGAGGGCACACGATCGGGCAAGCGAGGTGTACAACATTTCGAAACCGAATATACAACGACGCCAATATAAACGCCACATTTGCAAGATCATTGCAATCAAATTGTCCTCAAAGTGGGGGTGACAACAATCTTGCTCCATTAGATAACACTCCAACCTCATTTGACAATGCTTACTATGTGAACTTGCAAGGGAAAAGAGGAGTTTTTCATTCAGACCAAGAGCTCTTTAATGGAGGTTCTACCGACTCTATCGTCAACACTTATTCCTCGAACCCTTCTACGTTTACTTCGGAATTTGCAAGCGCTATGCTGAAAATGAGTAATCTTAGTCCTCTTACTGGCTCAAGTGGCCAAGTTAGGAAGAATTGTAGGAGAACCAACTAAGTAATGTGTAGTAATGATTGCATTACTATACAAAATATAGAATTTAAAGTGTAATTAAATATCTTTTGTGTGGACAGGGTCGATCAAGGGCCAAGAAAGTGAAACTGAATAAACTTTATAAAGAGTGATGTTTTTCTTTTATCTGTTTATAGAAATTAATCACTGGATGTATACGCGAGTTTACTTAATTTTTTTCAGTTTTTTTTCTTAAATACCTCAAAATCTCATAAATACATGAGTTGGAGTATTGGTTTCATTGTTTGATTGACTTTAATTTTTCATGCAACAAATAAGGAAAAAACTTGGATGCACCTTCAATCAACATTTAATTAAGTTGCTTTTTTGGATTGTAGATGGATGATGTAGGATGTTTTTACTCAAACTATTTTCTGTCCCAGATCAGACCAGACCTGAACAAATTTAAACAGACCAGATCAAACCTGACCAAAATTGAACAGACCAGACCAGACCGAAATTGACTTCTTTAGTTATAAAATACACAGAGACCAGACGTTCACCAGACGAGACCAGACGTAAACAGATCAGAACAAGTCAGACCAGATTTAAGTAGACCAGATCAAACCTGACTAGACCAGTAAATTATAAAAATCTTCAATATGTGTTGAAAAGTGTATGCTTTACCGCGCAATTAATACATGTGTTTCCCGTACAATTAATACTACATTATATACATGAGTGTATATCATATGCATGATACTTCCAATTAAATGATCGAGTATTATCATGAATAAAAATAGCAAGTAGATTGAAAAATGGAATAAAGACTACTTTAAGAATGAGAAAACATATTCGAACTACTAAATACAGCCGGAGTAACACTTCCAAAAACTGATGTTCATTACACATCTTCCACCGAATATAAATTTGAATTAATTAATACTCCCTCCGTTTCAGTTTCTTTGACACAGTTGGACTTGTCAACATTTAAGAGAAATACTGAATGGGGGTAAATTTTACTGTTTTGACATTGATTGGCACTGTTTAAACACTGTTTGGCACTGTTAGAACACTATTTGGCACTGTTTGGCACTTTTTGCACTGTTTTGGTAGAGATTTGTTTACCAAATAAGGAAATAAGGAGGTGTGACATTCATTTTGAAACATCCAAAAAAGGAAAGTGTGTCAAACAAACTGAAACGGGGGAGTACTACGTAGTACTTCGTAATATGTAATATAGAGCTTAAGTACGAGCTTCGAATGCAAGAAGTATACGGAGTATAAACCATTGTGCGAGATTGACTAAAGAGAAATGGTTGAAAATAGGACTAAAAATAGCTCTATGCATGTAAATAGGACTTAAATGATTTTAACTTCCGCTTCCGCTTATCCTCTCTCTTCCTATTTGTGGCCGAATTCTCTGCCCTAGCAATACTTGCCCTTCATCCTGAAGAAGAACATGGTGGTGCAAATAGAGATGATATACAATTGAGCCAAAATACGATGATGGCAGACTTGGTCGGACTTGGTGGCTCGGGTGATGCATCGCCGGCTTGGAGTGATGAATCCTGTTTACCGTCCTCTGGCTTCTCTTCCTCCACTCGGATGCAAGTCATGCAACAAGGATGAAAGGGTTTTCTGGCGTCAGTGACATCGTTAGCTAGTCACTATGGAAAATGGTTTCAAATTGCGGACCGCAACCGCAATTGCGGTTGCCAAGGGCACCGCAACCGCATCAGCCCGCAACACCATTGTTATTTGGAATCACGGCGAAAACCGCAACGTAACCGCGACGGCGCCGCAACATCCCGCAACAGGCTGCAGCGACGTGCCGCAACAAATCGCAATGCCTCCGCCTGTTCATCTTTCTTTCTGGTGCGAATTTTAAAATAATTCACGCCACAACGGCCGCAATACACATCTGTTGGGCCCAGTGAATATCCGTATGAGTGGGCCGATATACTACTAAGTTCATTTGGAGTCCAAAGCCCATCGTGATTAATGAAGTAAAGAGAAGTCCAATTATTAGCTCTTGATAGTTCGATAACAGAAGATAAGACCAAGGAAGGAGTCAACCGGAGCAAGAGTTAAAACGGTTGTGAGCGGAGGAAAAGTCGCATGTGGAGATACTTGGGGAAGGAGTAGTTTCGATTTAATAAATATCCTAGCATAGCACCTTTGTAAACAGACAATACACACTAATATTCATACACAATCACCTTCGAAAATAGCACACCAAGTGTAACACCGGACCTGAATTTTTTCTGTGAGATTTTTTTTTCCAACAATTACTGAGACAAAGAAGGTAAATCAAGACTAAGAGTAGTCTTGATAAATAAGAAAGTAAAATTTTGTCTTAAATTAATAAAGGGTTATTAATTTTAGACGTGGAACCACTCGTGATATTCTAAGTTTATTTATAAAATATTAATGTTTACCAAAATGATACTATTATGCTAGTAGGGATGGGTCATGGACCCCAGTGATATAAAGAACGACAACTAGACGGCCAAGCGGGCCGGGGTGTCTATCCGATAATTGTGAATCATTAATCATCGGACTGATAATAATTCGGAAGGCTACGAATTAATAACACAAGGAATATAAATATTTTAAGAACCCAAAACATGGGATGATGGATAATAATGAGCAACTTGACATGTTAGAGGTGGGTATTTTTGGAGGACCCTACCTTGAAGATATTTTTGTATAAGAATAAACAGATAAGATTTTATCTGGTCATACAGTTGGGACCACTTAAAAATAAGTGTGACATTTTATTAAAGTGTCACAAAATATGAAAACACATATTTAGTCATTAGGAATGATGAATGAATTTTTAAAGTAACTTATTCTCATTTTTACCGCTACTTGAACAGTAAAAGGCACGTTGGGCCCACACATGGGCGGAGACCATCCGATATTTACGGACCACATATTATATTCATCTTGGCTTAGATACTATTTATATGATGGTGTAAATTAAGGTTGAGCCATAAAGTTGGCCTTTCAATCAAACGAGGTCCCATTATCGGTATAGTCAATTAATCAGATAACAACCCGAAATAAATTCCGGAGACCACTAAATTAAAGTTGGGTAATATATATTCATTTTAAAGACCAATATTAATTGGAAGAATGATATATATTTTACTTAACCCAATAAAATAAAATATAATTAAAACAGTCCAGAAAATACAACTTTTGGGATCAAGTGTACACTCCGGGACATATTGGGATGACCTCCCACATAGGTGGGGGCCACCCCACGTTTTTGTTGTCTAATAATAAGAGTGGTGAGCCTGGTCATGTGGTGTATGATGGATGAAGAGATGGGTTAGACAATTTTGAAAGGTAGAGGGACCCTCTCCATTACTCATTGGCTTTTGAGACAAAACTTGTCTCTCCACCTTCTCTCCCCTCATTTTTTCGTCCAAGCCACCCCAAGGAATAAGGAGAGCTCTGCAAAACTTCATTCCTCATAACCATAACCGAGCTCAAACATAGGGATGTCCAAGCAAGAAGAAAGAGTAGTGAGAAAAGAAGAGAAAAACCTTGATTAATTAAGGTAATGATCTCATTAACATTTTTCATCCTCCATTTAATCTCATATGATTTTATAAATCTTATGATGGACCTTTAAACTTGTTCTACACTTATAGAGGTGTAGAATGAGGGTTTGGAGGGTTAAGTTTCCATAAACGGAGTTATGACCGGTTCACCGGAAAACACCTTCTCGGAAGGTTTTGATGTTTATACAATATTTGGTTTATGAAACCTTGTTAGGTCTTTTACCAAAATATTCTACACTTCTCAAGGAATCTAGGAGTGGCCGGAAAAGTCGCCGGAGCCGCCGAAGTTTTCGCCGGAAAATTCAAAAGTCGCCGGAGTTCAAACAAAGAAGATAAAAGCTTGCTAGCATCATTTCGAGGTGAGTGGACGACTACGTGTCTTGTAACTCTTGAGTCAAACGTGGGATTACCTAAATAAAATCATAGTCATTATTTGAGAAATGATTAAATGGATTAAAATGCATGATTAGTCATGGTGAATATGAATTATGAAAACATTATATGGTTAATGAATAAAAGATTTATTTGTGGATTAACCATGAATATGTTATGGCCAAATGTATAACAATGCATACATGAACTATGTATGAGACAACTAGAGTAATCTAGTGTATGAATATGTAAAGAAATGTTTAAAAGTGTTTAAACATGTGATTAACTATATTGATGATAAGTTATGCGAAAATGGCATTATTAATGAGTAATTGAATCATTAATACTTTTGATGAAGGATAATCATGAATGATTAATTTGGAAATTAACCAAGGAAATTCAAGATGGTATTCTTGAAAGATTAAAGTATTTAATCATGCAAGCCATTAAAGTGAATTTAGTTTATGAGAAATAAACTAAGGTAAAAAAAAATACAAGGTATGATTAATTAATATAAATGATTTTGTTGGCTCATTTGAGAAATGACCAAAGTAACTCAAGTAATATTCTTGTAACTATTTTAGAAACGTTTAAGAGTGCATGTTACTAAAATGATCTAGTTGCGAGGGATAAACTAGAATAAAAAGTATAAATAATTAATAAGTATGAAATACTTATTAATAGTTGTGAGACTATAATATTCTAATTGAATGATGAATCACGAATGGCTCATCTCGTGAGGTGATTAAAAGAAATGCAAGGTGGTATCCTTTTGAAGAATTAAAGGTGCTTAACCATGCAAGTTATGAAAGCAAACTATTTTATGAGAAATAAACTAAAGTATTATACATGAAAATGATTGGAAATATTTATATAAAATATAAGATATGTTCGAATGGCCAAAATAGCATTTATTGATTGTATTAGACACAATACATATTGTGTAAAAATTTCGGGCCAAACGGAGCACGTTTCAGGGGTCAACTCGGAGGTCAACGGGCCGTTGACCCAAAACTCCGAACATACCCGACGCCGGGTATAGGGCATACCCGGGGCCGGGTAAGCTGCTGCCTCCAATTTTCGTTTTCGCCGAAAACGCGAATCGGAGCCCGGTTCGACGTGGGATTAATTCTAGCCATCCTATATATGAATATTTTGCATGGAATTGCATGAAATATGATGTTTAAAATGCTAAGGCTTGTAATACGGATTAAACGCTAAGACTTGGACTAGTCAATAGTGAATAAATTATAGACCATGACTGGGCGAGGTACGTGGTAGATTATACATGGCGGGTGAATTCCCGGGACCAAATAAGGTTAAGTAATATTCTGTAGGACCAGGAGGAGTCCTCTACACTCAAACGTTAACAATGGCCCGTGTAGTCCTTGAGGTGTGTTAACCTCCAGTAAATTACACATAGGTAACAAGGGCAA